TTCCTATTGTCTTTCCTGCCACCCCAGCCTCCTTTGTATGGCGATTCAAAGTCAGACAGACTTATACACAGCATCAATCAAGAGTTACTGCCCTCCTTGCCACATTAGACTGCCCTCTAAAAGGCTGCTCTGGGCCTTTATACCTCCACTTTCCTCCCTCCACCGAAGTGTTCACTAGTAGCTACCTTTATTCTCCCTACCTCTGCTTCCTCTATGACCAAAGACAAGCCTATTGCAGGCGATGGCAAGACACCTACCGGGGATGTCCCTACTGGTGTTGCACCATTCACTACATGGGTAACTCCCGGTACCCACAGTATTACTCCTCCAACCGTTTCATGAAATATCCCAATGGCTCATTCTCCTTATCAATCCCAGATCCCTGGGACTCTCGATGGGCCGCCGGAGTCACAGCCTCAGTTTACTACGGGGGGTCCTCAACCTCCCACGGTACCTTCCATATCTCTCGAGAGTATGTTCCCTCTAATTCCCAGATCTCTCAAGTTGAATCCGATACCGAACGTTCCGAAAAAGTCATTATCCAAACTCTTGATGGCGCCTCTTCATCTTCTCACCCCTGCCCCTCTTCCAATTCCTCCTACTCTTGGTTACAGCTCATTCAGGACACCACCATCTTTCTCAACTACACCCTTAACACCACCAATTGTTTCTTGTGCACATCACTACAGCGCCCACTGCTAACCGCCGTGCCTCTTAACATTTCCAATTACTCCTTTCACGCAGAAGGACAACCCTTCCGCCCCCTGGCAGACATACCTCTATGGGAACCAGAATATGCAAACAATCGCACCATCCACCACTGTGTAGGCCCAACCCCTACCCCCTCCAGCGCACTTCACTGTCTCTCTATCCACACCCCTACCTCCGGCTCTAAGACTTTTATGCAGCCGGGACACTTCTTTTGGTGTAATGACAGTCTTTTTAACTCACTGCCTCCCAACTCCAGCACACCCTGCATTCTCGTCACCCTAATCCCACAGCTTACACTTTACAGCATGGCAGAATTCCTTGAGCTTCAACCTCCTTTGCCCTTGTGCACAAGAAGGGCTGCTTTCCTTCCCATTATGGTCGGTATTTCCCTAGCCACCTCAGCCATTGGGGCAGGATTTTCAGGGGGAGCCTTGGGTCACTCTCTATGGGCAATTAGAGATCTCAACGCCAAAC